TCAGGAATATTTAGTTATTTATTTTCCAGTCTGGACACATTCCAAACATTCTTACTCGTCAGGGACATTTGCACAAGTGCGGGGAAGGGTAAGTAAGGCATTGGTATGTCACACCTCTTATAAAAACTATCTTGGTAATTACCTTATACTAATGGTTGTATCAATGGTCTGTGACTCAATTTTCACATTTCCACTTTCTGGTTAGGTCACCCAAAGCTGGATCTTCAGCAGCTGTGACAAAAATTCAGCCTCAGCAGATGCTCATCTCGTCATTCGTGTCAGTGCAAAGCTGCTGGTGGCACGGATCCCATTTTCTTTGGAAGTGCTACTTAAAAAGGTAATGTTGCTATATGTTTCCAACTGGAATGGTCCCTAGAAACCACTATTTGCCTGGGAAGGTTCAACCAAACTATTAAGCCTCAGCATGGATGAGTTCATCTTTATTAATCCTTTGGTGGAGGGTGCAGCAGGTTGGCCTGGCACCAGGGTTGGTCTCTTGGCAGAGGCATTTAAGCCAAAATTGTGCAAAACAACGTGCAGTACTCGGTGACACCTGCACGGCTTCCGTGGAGCACCAGTGGGAGGGCTCAGGCACCCCACTGCCTGTGACGCCAGGACAGACCTGATGGCAGCAGTGCAGGGCAGCGAATGGGAACAAATACAGAAACCCGGTTTCACCCTAAACAAAAACCATCACAAACCCTAGCTGAGTGTTTCTCTGCCTTCGCACCCTTTGCTGGGTGCTGCCATCACCTTCACGGTGCTGTAGGCTGTGATCACTGTGCTGGGAAGGACTCCCTGAATTTGGGGCATAAGCCCCTGCCAAGGGGGTGCTCAGAGGGTTGCGCAGGAACAGGCGGAGCCAGTGAAGTGGCAACATGGGTGAAAAGAAATGAATGAGCAATTCAGAGCTGGCTGTACTGAATCTGATGCATTTGAGGATCTCTCTTGAACCTCTGCTCCTTGTGGGCAGCAGGTTGGCAATAGAGTAAATGTGATCATTAAGAATGTGCGTGATCCTCCCTTCACAGCAAAAGCTGGTTTCCCATCCCTCCTCTGGCCAAATGCTCCTCACACTCTGGTTTAAGATCCTTAGCAAAGGCATAGAAAGGTGTAAGGAAAAAGAAAAAAAGGCACAAGATGTGCAGGAAAGGCCAAAAAGGCATTTCCAACACGGGCTGGCTCTCACGGATCTTTTATGTAACTGAGCACGTGGCCCTCCACGTTTATCTTCAGGCTTGACATGGGTTATCTGATTGCCAAGTAGAGAGCATCTCTGTTAAATGATGTCAATCTTCACCACACTGGCATTACAGAATCATAAAAAATTACATAGCTGCTATTTTGGGCAGCAGCTCTCTCCGACTCAGTGAATAAATGCATCTCCATATGACTCACTCTGGGGGATTATTAATAGACACTAAAGCAGAATGCCAGAACACCAAGAATATTGCTCAGTTCCCACATGTAGCTTTCTAGTTTCTCACAGCAATTGCACTTGAGAACTTTTTGTCTCAAGATTTAATTTTTATATATATATTTTTATATGTGCATGTGTGTATACAAGGAGAATGAATTTTCTATTCAGCTCACACCTTGAAGGCTTGGTGGGGGGGAGGGAGAAAGTCTGTAGCGATGGAGGATGCTCGTTGCTCCAGTTCTAGGCGTGCACGGTACCACACTCCAGCCCTGCATCACACGCTGGGCACACACCCATCCAGGTCAGTGCCTCCTGCTACCAGGCCCATTCAGGTGAGGCTGCCATTATTAGCAAAGCTTGAAATAGAAGCTCAGTTTTGTGATTTAAACAAACCATGCGGGATGGCAGAACAGCAGGGAGGAAGCTAGTCATTCTGAGAGGAAAGAAATCACACACTTCTTTTGCTGTTTGACAGCTGGAGGATCGATCAGCAACAGGAAGCAACTGCCTGATTAAGATATGGCTCAAGCCTGGAGCTCACCCCACCCTGGGGCTCACCCCACCCTGGGGCTGCCTTCAAGCAGCTTTTCAGTAGTTAGGGTGAAAGTCATCCATGGGGTTCTCCACACCATCCTGGCCCCAGTGCCACACAGAACTGCTGCATTCAAGTAGTGTCAGCTTCTGTAACGCAGGCGAACCTTTATGAAAAAGGGGGCTTTTCCCATAAGATGTTTTGTTTTCCTGGTTTTTGTGAAGGATGGGATGAAGGTGCTCCTGGGTTGAAGATTCCACCTGTGGAGCCAGGATTTGGAAAGCACTGCTCCTCCTGCTGTGCAGAAAGGGATGGAGAGGTGCAGTAAGTCACCCTGGGTTCTGTGTGGCCCATCCACAGCTGCAAAGAGGTTGAGGCAGGGTAGGAGGCAGAGCTGGGTCTTCGGGTCCCAGCAGAGACTTAATTAAAAAAAATCCCAACTCTGACTGAAAGCAAAGGAAGAAATGAATGTGAAGGTTTGGATGGGTTGGGATGTTGAAGTCCAGTATCAGAGGAAGGTTCATGGTAATCAGGAAACAGCAGTAGTAGTCACATAATTAACTGGCTGCTTTGATAAAACTTTTCAAGGGTATTTGCTGAAGGGCTGCAGACTGGTTTCTCAGTTACATCAGTTTACCCATCCTCTCCATCTGACTAGTTTCCAGGCTGCTCTGCACTCTTTGATACTGTAATACCTGTGTGCGGCAACATCTACTTGTACCAGGCAAATAAAACAACTGCAGGCACAAGTCTTTGATGGGAAGTTGAAGTGGATCCTCCTTCCATCAGCCCAGGTGTGTTTTTAAAAGGTAAGTCCAAACAGAGATTAGGAGGAATAATTAGAGAAACATCTTAAAACCCACTATGCGGATGGTAGCAAAAAGTGCCATGGCCAAGGGTTTGATGACTTGATATAAATAGGAACATCCCACCATTCACTCCCACCTAATTCTTTTCACATTTCTTGCAGAAGGGTAGAACAAATAGAAGTCTTTCATCCTCACCCCAGTTGCACCAGCCTGGTGGCAGCCCTGGAGCACATCAACTCCAAAGACAGCTACGGACACCCTCCAACCCTTCTGCCCGTCCTCATGCCTCCACAACCAGCAGCAGAACAGACTACCCAGGCACTCACAAATACTGTCATCTAAAGGTCCAACAGTGAGGTTATAATTTATGCAGAAGACTAAAGCACTTGCTGCTGGTCACATTAAGTGCACAGGTTAAGATGGGAATTGCTTTTCCTCTCTCCAAAGCTTCCACTATAGCCCATGCCTTTGATGCCATCATTGGCAAGAAAACAAATATATTAAAAATAATATATTTAATATATTAAATATATATTAACATATGTATTATATATTAATATATAATATATTAAAACTAATGGGAAGCTGAAAGAAACTCCATGTAAAAGGAGGCTGGTGTACTGAAAGATGTACCTGTAACACAGGGTTTGTATAGGGGAATGTATGTAACAGCGTGTTCAGCAGGTAGAAAATGAACCATGTTTCAAAAGGACAGACCCAATTCCATCACTCTTGTATTGCTTGTGAAAGCTTTGTAAAGCACTTTTGGGAGCAGGATTTGTGGGCTCAAGCCCCAGGGCTCTTTATTAATTAAAGTGTTTAAATAATTGAAAAGCACAGTCTCCTGACTCCCCTTAGCACAGCTACCTGCTTGAGAGCTGCCATAAATTATGGAAAAAATCATATGCAAGAGGACAGAGCTACCCCTTGAAGAATTCATAACAGATCAAATGGCTCTGTAGCACTGCAAGGTGCCAACAGCCCTAAGAAGGATGATGTGATGGGAGTAGGTTAAGTCAGTGAGATCTCATCTCCATGGATTCTTGGGACTTGCTGCATGTCCAAAGCAGCTGCCAAAATGTGGTGAGAATTTAGGAGCATTAGAAGTGGCTGGCAATTTCTGACCATGAACAGGATAAAGATGCACATAGTGAAACATGCTAGAGTGAACTCTGCACTGAGTTTTTTGCATGGAAAGTTGCCGAAGCCAGGTAGTGCTTGAGTTGTCCCGTATCTGCGATACAGTAGCCACTCGATTCAAACCAAGGTTAAGAGGAGACCAGGGTAAAACACTGAGCAGTTTGCAGCACTCAGAAATAGCTTCTACCTTAAGAAGAGGGCTTGATCCTGCAGCCTCACAAATGCTGCTGGGGAAGCTGCTCTTGCTGAAGGTGTTCACATCCAGTCCTGCTTAAGTCCCCTCTGGTGTGTCCTCCCTACCCCACTATCCCACCCACTGACTTGAAAGCCAAAGGAAAATTCAGTTCAGGGAAGGAAGCACAAGCACTTTTTTTGGGGGGACACATTCTAGGTATGCCACAGCAGCGACAGGGAACAAAATCTGCTGGTGCAGACTGTCCAACCCTACTTGGAGTGAACATTGGAGGAAATCAAGAAAGTCCCTAATGTTTTAGAGATTTTCAGAAGTCACAGGTGATTTTTGAGGGACTTAAAATCCTTTAAAGAGCTCTGATTTTTCAGGAGGTCCAGTGAAAAATGGCCAGTGTTAAAGGGCTTTGGGGTGAGTGCCCCACTCATGGGTCAGCCACTTCAGCAAAAGATGCTATTAATGCAATCTCATGGTCTATCCCACATACATCACACAATTTAGAACAATGAAATCAATACAATACAGAAACCTGTGTCCTGATAAAGCATTCTCCATGGAATGCAATGCAAACCTGGCCCTTATATGGTGTCAAATCAGGAAAAAGTATCAGCACAGGTAAGAATCTCCTTTCAAATAATAAATGCAAAAGCTGTATTGTTTCCCCCTTTTTTTTTTCTTTTACTCATGACAGCATTTGTTAAAAATATTACGTCGTCTGCTTTTGAGAAGGTATTATCCTCTCCATATAATGTGGAAAAATAAAATCTACATGATACACAACATATACCCCTAGTTGGCAGAGCTGCTTTAGGAGATTAAATTCACAGACTCACCGATGCAGAGGGTTGGTTTTGCCTTCCTTGTCCCCAGACTCTTAAATTGTATTGTAGGAATGGTAAAAGACAAGAATACATAAAAACAGTAAAATGTTTATTTTCTTAGAAAAAAAGAGATTCAAAATGATTGTGATCACACTCCCATTCGTGCTCAGCAAAGCCAATACTGCAAGCTTAGTCCTTGATTAAGATACCTATTAAACAAAACTCTTTTTCCTCTTAAAATACAAATTCCTGCTCCTGTATCACTTCCAGTATTTCAGTGATAACATGCTTTTAATGGATAATAGTTTCTCAACTTCTTCTCAGTAGAGAAACAAGGCCTGCCACGGCAAAAAACATCCCGTCTCCAAAGCTTGCCATCACCAGCATTAATAAGCGCTCCGGCCTGAATGCGGACTGACAGACAGCTTAAGGGTGTTTCTTAGATGCTTGAATGTTCACTTATGGAAGCTTTGTATAACACTACCTCATCTGATAGAAAACAGGCCAGAAGCCTCAATAAAATCAACAACGTCTTTTGGATTAACTTTAAGGATTTGCTGCATATCTGGACACAGAAAAAAGTGAGAAGTTGCAACAAGTTTTAACTAGCAGCAACAAAAACAGTTCCTTACGAGTTCTTAGCAATATTCCTCATCTGTTCATTAAGAAACACTGTAACTGAATGGAGCATATAATGTGGAAATTATCTTCTTCTGTTATGTAGTGCTGTTCGCTCTAGAAGACTTCCAAAAGGTCTCGACTGGGTTGTAATCTATTTACACAGTAGTATTCCTGGTGTGAGTGGCAGAATTGGCACTATGTGACATCCTCCTCTTCTGAACAATAATCACGACCCTGTAAGGAGAAAAGCCAATTTTTAAATGACTACTTGAAGACAGGAATAACATAAATCAAGGGAGCACTTACTAATAATGCGTATCAGTTCCCTAAACTTACAAGATTTTAAGTTCAGAGCTGGGTATAAATCCTAAAAATAGGGAAGAGAGTTTGCACAACTCCTCCAACCATCTCTGGAAGGTCTGCATGGAACCAGGATAGGAGACCCTTCCCTTTCTGTCACCATTAATCTCATAAATTTCACCCCCTCTACTGAATTCCAGGGCGAGTCCAACAAACTGATTCACAAAACTATTTTATGTAAAGATACATCTTGATGGACACAACCCTAGAAATCCATTGAGAAGCCATAATCTCCAAGGCAAAAGCAATGAAGCACGTAACTCTATGAGCAACACAGCTCAGCTGCTGTGAACAGGAATACCTCATCCGATAACCTCATCAAGGGTTTAAGGTAAGAGCAGAAAGGCTACGCTTCACTAAACACAGACTTCTTAGTCATGTTATGCCTTCTATCCCATCCCAAACACAAGACTTGCAGCAGCACCTATCTAGGTAATACCCACAGAAAGGTCTGGAGAAGGTATGTCCCATCCATTACTAGTTGTTTCTTGCAAAGTGGCAAGAATAGGATCTGACAGGACCCACTGTCCCTGTTTCTCTACACAGAAACAGCTGGAGCTGAGCTTTTCAATACACAAGCCACCCAAGATAGCCTGTGTAAAACAAGTGCCTCAAATGTAGTACCAAAAATCTCAACCTCTGGACTATTTCTGTTGTTCCTATGTGCTAAGTGTATCCCAAGCAGTTGCATGGAAAATCTGAGTTCCTGAGCAAAAGGCTGGCAAAGAAGAAAAGGAGAAACAGATCTCAGCCTGGCAATAACATGTAAAAGCCTGACAACACCCTGTAAGCAGGAGAGACCAACTGAGCAGTGGTAAAATGGGTGAAGCTCCACTCAGTCAAGGTGGGGTACCCAGCTGCCCAACAGTCAAACCTCTCACTGACTTGTCTAGAAAGAGGTGTAGGGATCAGCTTGTCCTGGGTTCAGCAGTAGCAGTCATTTTTTCTTTCTTAGTAGCTGATGCAGTGCTGGTTTTGGACTTTCTGTCTGGGAACAGCACTGCTAGCACCAATGTTTTTAGTTTCTGCTCAAATGTTTGGTCTGACCAAGGACTTTGTGAGCCTCATGCTCTGCCAGGGAGGAGGGGAAGCCAGGAGGAAGCAGAGACAGGACACCTGACCCAAACTGACCAAGAGGTATTCCATACCACAGCATGTCATGCCCAGGATGTAACTGGGGGTTACCTGGAAGGGCACTCACACAGTTCGTTTCGGTCGGGCTTGTTTCGGGTGGTATCGTATTCTCTTCCCTTGTTATTTCCTTTATCATTATTATCATTGGTGGTAGCAGTAGTGATTTGTGCTATACCTTAGTTACTAAACTGTTCTTATCTCAACCTGTGGGAGTTGCATTCTTTTGATTCTCCTCTCCATCCCTCTGCGAGCGGGGGGGGGGAAGGGTAGAAAGGACGAGGGGGGGCGGTGCTGTAGACTGCGTGCCTGACTTGCCAACAGGGTTTAAACCACGACACAGCTCTACATTTTTTTTCAAGTAAAATATCAGACTCAGAAGGAATGCCAAAATACTTTGCAGAGAAGCCCAAATGCATCGTTTTTTTTCTATGCCAGGGACCACAATGCATTCAGACAAAACCATGAGACTAAGCTGTGGTGGTGATGAAGGCTTTGTCCAACATGCTTCAAGGGCTGTGAAAGCCACCTGTAGCAAATGATGACTGAGGCTCAGGGCATTTCCAGGAGATTCATTTGCCTGGATCCCCAGGCTCCCGCTCAAGAGAGAGACCCCACAATGCTCCACACCAGTGGCTATCAGGGATATTAAAGGCTCAAACAGACCCAAAACATGGAAGAAAGCTGTCCTGGACTTTTCCTTGCCCATTCCTCCTGCCATTCTGCTTCTGGGTTTGCTCTCTGGCAACCAAGTGCATTGCTCCTCAACAGGTTGCCAAGAAACTGCTTAAAAAGCAACATGCTGAAGAAGTCCTTGCCAGCGTGTGGAAATATCACCTCTCACCCACTGCCTGTAGGCTGCTGAGAGCCAGGCTGCTGCTGCCAGACACTTTATTTCCATCTTCACACCAGCAGGGATGGAGCCGTGTTGGTGTCTCAAGGACGGCCTTGGAGCCATGGACCTCAGTCACTGGTGGGCAGGGAGCTGCCACCACACCAAGCTTCCTGCCAGCCTGCTCCTTCCCGATAGCGCATGTGGGCAGCAGTGGCACAGCGGAGATGGGGAGGAGTGTGAGAGCTGCCACAGACACCAGAACATCTCCCACCCCTTCCTGCAGTGTGACACACACCCTCTCGCACCTGCACCCGGCACGGATCCACAACTCCGACCCCACCAGCTCATTTGATGCCCAAGCTGTGGTGACACCTGATGGCAAGGTGAGGAGCCCCGCTGCAGTCCCAGCCCGCTGTGCAGCTCTGCAAGGGAGCTCTTGCTTTAGAAGGGGGGGCCCTGCCAGAGCAACAGCTGGTGGGAAGGGAGAGGTGTGGCAAGGGAGCAGGGGATGAAAACAGCTCCTGGAGCCACTCAGCAGCAGGCTGAAGGCTTCACATCCCCTTCCCCACTCTGCCATGGAGCCATGTGGAGAAGCACACTGTGAGGCAGGGTAGGGATCCATTTGTTACACACCAAGAATCATGCAGCAGCAAAGGCACAGCAGGCTGGCAGCTTGCATACAAAATTGGGGGTTTTGCTCTCACTTGGGATTTACAGCAAGTTAAGAGGATGTTGCTTTTCTTTACCTGGAGAAAGAAGAACCATGACCATCCTCTCAGTAGTGGGATGCAAGACAACCTGTGGGACCACCCTGGTCTGGCAAGTTTAGCTTGTCAAGGGTGGGGATCAGCTGTGACAGCAAAAAAATAGCTTGCATATAGTCCTGCATCCATCCAGCTGTCCTACAACCACTGCCCCAGCTACACTGCGAAGGCCTACACCAACATGTGCCCAGCATTTAATCCCAGCACAGACAACAAACATGGATCTCAGCCTGACAAGGCCTAAAGTGTCTTGGCCCAGTTCAGCAGGGTTGAGCACATACTTGCCTTTAAAGACAAGGGAAACAGCACTTAAGCCCTGGAGCAGCTCATGAGCAGAAAGCTAACAGATGCTTTAGCACCTTCTTGAAGAAGGGCTTGTGATAAGTAAGATCTCCTTGAGTAAATACACAGCAATGGGTATTTATAGCAGTGGGTATTTATCCTCCTAAAAGGAGCAGGAATGGAAGAAACTATACTACAAGGAAGCCCAAAAAATTAGAATTCCCCCTTTTGTCTAAACTTATTCCCTAATTAAATTTTTATCAGTAATACAAGGGGGGTGTTCCTCAGAAAGATCAGTGAAGGAATAAAGTGCCCTGTGGGTTTTTTTGGGGGAGCAGATGTGTGTCAGGAAGAAAAAGAAGAAACCAGAGAACGTAAGTGACAACCCCCCAAACAGAGCAGACTCATAGACGGAAAATGAGGGTGCAGGATTGCCCTGCTGCCCAGGGGAGCAGGCTCCTGAATGCGGATGAGCCACAGGCACAGAGCATGCAGCAAATAACAAAAATGCATGGGTCATCCTTTAATAGCCCTTAATAGCATAGGCTTTTAAGTAAGTTTTAATGATTGGGAGGGTAAATGAACTGTACCAAGGAAGATGAGAGCAGGAACACATGCATCCAAGTCCAGGTAAATCCCCCAAAATCCTATCTTCCTCCCCTGCAGTTTCAAAATCCAACTTTCAACTTTTGTAGATGCTCACAGAAAGACCTTAACACAAGTGTGTGAATTTTAAGTAGTTTAAAAAAAGCCTTATGCTCCTTTCCTGCTGCTTGTTCCCAACCGGAAAAGCTCATTCCCCTGCTCTCCCCTCTTGCTGCATCTACCAGGGCATGCTTCATGGCTGCTGATACCCTTTTAGAGAGAAAAAAAAAAAAAGAGAAAAAAGAAATCACAGGAAAAGCCCTTTCCCCCATTGTTGCGGGTGACAGGCCAATCAACAAAACTCCATGCCGCTGGAATGCAGAGGCCTTCCCACTTCAAAAGCCTTTTGTGTGGCTGGCAGACTTGCCCAGGGAGAGAAGGCAGCTAAGGAGATGCTTCTTCCGCCACAGCTCTGCAGCTTGGCACCAGAATCCTCACACCGTGGCCCTGGCTTGGAGAGGAGGAAGAGGAGGCCGGCCGGCCCGGGAAAGGAAAATGTGCTGCACCAAGCAGCCCTTTCTTCTGCAATGGCTGAAAGAGCTTGCGGGACACAGTGGCCCCTTTCAGAGGAGATGGCCGATGCTGGGAAATGTTAGCCTGGCTCTGTGGTGGGAACCCTTTTCATCAATCTGGTTTTGTTTACAGTGCTCACAGAAAGGACAGGAAGAAAATGCTGAGAGGCAGCACTAAATAATTGTATACTGTGCTAATTTTTGTCCGTTTCTGATTTTGTTAGAGGAAAATCAATCGAGTCATTAAGAGCAATCCAGTTTGCTAATGAGTTTTAGGCTAAGAATTCCACCCTTGCATACGTTTCAGTTAGCAACCCCCCTTTTTCTAACAGCACTCTTTAAATACAATACAAGGAGCTGCATTGTGTCTTCCTCCTGCATTTCATGCCCAGTTTTACTAACAAGGAGATGGAGCGAATTGCCACCAGGCATCCCTCCCATGGCCTCCAACAACAAACTGGTAGTCTCCAACCCAGCTCCCAGTGGCCAGGTGTGTGGACTGGCAGAGAAAGTCTTGCAAAGCAATTTCAACACCAGTGCTGCTGATCAAGACCAAGTTATCTCTCCACCCACAATGACATCCCCTGTGGCAGTGGAAACACAATGCCCAGGGTCTCAGGATATCCACCGGCCAACATGAGTTTGTAGCAAGACATCTTCACATGCTATGACATTTCTTAATCTCTTTGTTCTTTCACAAGCATGTCTGCATTGTGATTACTTGCAAATCACTGTATCTAAGTAGGAAACAGCTTATGATGATGGGACCAGTGAGGATTTCCTCTGGTGCAGTTTTACCTGGATAGTTTTGGGTTTGTTTTTTTTTAAACTACAAAGCCAGAGACGATTCTGTTCTGGAGGTACAATCCCCAGATACAATCCTAGAAATCACTTGTCAACTGTTCAATTATACCTCAGCCTTGGTATTTTTTCCTACAGTGAGACAGCTGCCTACACACTGTGCCATGGCTTACAGTAATAATATATACTTAAAGGAGACAGATAATTTCTGATGATTGTTTCACTGCTCTGTATGCAGGATTCAGAGAAAGCAGTCATTTTTCAGATTGTTCTCCATGATAGCTATCATCAATATGTTTTCACTAGCAAATGCTGAATGGGGTAGATTTTCTGCGTTCAGCACTTCATGCATCATAGCTTTTAATTTTGCTTTTATTTCCTATTTTCATGCGAGCCCTGGTTGTACAGGGCTCCCTCAAGTCTATGGACTTGAGCCTGCAAACACGGTCCAGGATTAACTCTCTCTTCCGAGTCATTCTGTTCAATTAATGGGATTTCTTCAAATTTTGTTGCCTCGGGGTTGACTCTAGCAGGATCATCTAACCCTATTGTGAGTCTGACTTTTACATTCTCAGTCAGTCCTACCTCAGCATTCAGTTTTGAGACTTTGTTCCAGCATTTTTCCCTTCCAACAAGCCCCATGAATTGAAGTACTATAATCATATACAGTTCCATACATGCAAGTTCAGCTCTAGCTCTCCGAGCAGGAACACACACTCACACAGAGAGAGGAACAAATGTCTCACTCTGAATATCTCTTGGTGTTCTGACACCAAATTTTGGTAGACAGAAGCTCCATGCACTGGGGTTGGCATTCTGGCTTTTACCTTTGTGTGGTACTTGCAGAAGGCAGTTCAGCTTTGTACATGCAGCCAGGAACACAGGCATGTGCTGGGTACCAACAGGCATTAGACTTTCAGAGAAATTCTGCAGACCATTTCATTGTATTTTTTTTTTGGATCTCCAGGATGATGATAATAATAATACTTCATAATAATAAATACTTCCTATTTTCAGTTGCTAAAACATCACCCTGTGTTCTTTCCATTTCACACTTTGATTGCAGAAATTCTATTTCAGCTGACTTTTCTGTTTATTTGTTCTGATGAGTCTGAAACGCCCATTTAATTTTCCTCTCTAGTTGTTAGAGTTGTTGTCACTTATTTGTACTACATGACCTAACATCCCTTGGAATTTCAGCACAAGTTGAAATCTCTCTGTTCCACAGTTTCTGTAGACACAGCCCATGAGGGCAGCGATGGACAACATGTCTCCATTACATATCCAACACTACTCATGGCTAGTTAACATGTGAACATTACAACATGTTTTGGGACCTCATCAACCACAGGCAATGACCCCCATCCCTGCAGACTATTTCAGGCGTAACTGGCAAGCTGTTCAGTGATATAGTTCTTTTAGCTCTTTGACTGCTGTCCTCTATTTCCCTGAAGAAGGGATTCAAAATAGTACTTAGGAATCAAATAAAGCCCATCATATTTTCCAATCTTTTTGGCACTTGTGGCAGATACCTAGAAAAACAACATATTGTGGGCAAATATTAATTAAAAAATGCCAAAATTCTCTTAGGAACACTATTTCCTTAGGCACAGAAGGTCCCCAGAGAAAGCAAATCCCATGTTCAGTTGTTCATTAACTCATGCCAATCTCATCAACTGTCAGCAGCTTGAAATGCATGGGAGCCATTTCCCTGTCTTTGATAGATAAACCCATGTATTTGCTCTAAATAGGCAATCTCCTAATCTAGAAGATAAACTAGTATAAGAGCCCTGTAGAACACCTGTAAGCATCTGAGAGTATGATCCAAACAGCGAGAAGACACAGTCAACTGCATCTCAATGTGGCAGCTGGTGAGTGAATACTATTACTGTCCTGAAACAAATCTCGAAAACAAAACCTGACCTCAATTCATAATTAGGTACAGACATCAGATGGTCTGCTCTGTAGATAAGACAGGTCTTTGGAAAATCCATTTCATTGGATATTTTGTGTTTGACATTATAGAAAGTGGTGATGCCCAGGAAAAGCAGAAGCAAAATGCATTCACCCAGCAAAATACATTGACCCAGCAAAATACAGACCAAATTCATTTATTCAAAAGAGATGTAGCTATACTATGGATATGTAGAAATTCTACTTTTAAATGCATATAGGTCAAGTAAGATCCTACCCCTGTGAAATACTAGATACCTCCTCACTTCCATTCAGGCATTGACCACCTCTTTAGGAAGCCTGTTCCAGTATTTGATCACCCTCTCAGTAAAGAAATGCTTCCTAATGTCCAGTCTAAACTTGGGAGTACAAATTACTTCATTGTAATTGGGGAAGCAAGTGTTAGTATGAAGTATTAAATAAGACACACCATTCCAAAATTTTAAGTGTAAAGAGTATATTGGTGAGTGAACATCAACTCAAGGAATAAGCAAAAGCTGAGCTCCAGACTCAATCCAAGTAGCCCATTTAATTACTTAAGTCTCAGTTTTCCATCTATGTTGTGGTGCAATTATTTACTACTGTCTCACGAAAAAGCTGAGATTCTCATTTTAAAGATTTGTGAAAAACATGAAAGCTGCTACCAGACAACGAGATAGGCAAAGAACTATTCAACCTCTTCTTCAAAACGTCGCCAGCATCATTATTTTGCTCAGTGTATGTCCTGAGGCAGGATTATCTGCATACACAGATACACTACTCCTTGGAGCCAGGAGCTATTTTGAAAAGATTTTGCAAGAAATTAGAAGGGTATCCCAGATACTACCGGCATTAAAATTCCAGTTGTTTCCCACAGAGGTTAAATGAAAGAGCAAATCACTAAGGGCATAAACTCCCATTTTGTTCTCCTTTATCCAGTAGGTTAATTTGCCCTTCATCCTAGACTGTTCATTTTTGATTTTCTTCAGTACCTCCTGCAACCTCTTTTACCTTTTCTTTTTTTTTTCTTTTTGCACTTGAACTACTTAACCAACAAGCTTTATCTAACCAAGGGGGATCTCAGATCAGAGCCCCTCCAAGTAGTGAAGAACATGGAGTGCTGCAACAGGCAATGTCGGATTGTCCTCCCCACAGAGCCAGAAAACCTGTGTGCCCGCCACCTGAGTGAAAATGTAACACACTTTATTGTGTCTTACCTTTTCAATCTTTTCATCAAGCATTCTGAAGAATTCTTGTTGGCTTTCAGAGATGTGCATGCTGAAAGTCAAAGGAACATTATGAGTACCAACAGGACTTACTCAATTTTAAAATACTGATGCTGCAGTCCAGGGTTGTCGAGGGGCCAGCTGTAAGCTTTTATCACTGTGCAAAATAAATCACTTTTCACTTTCAGATACAATTACAATTTTTTAAATTCCCCCCCCCCCCCCCCTTTTTTGTTCGCCCATAGAAAGAATATTACATTTAGTTCGGTGTATACATACTAGGCTTGGGATGGTAACTAGGACTCACACGCATCCAGAGGAGACTATTCCCTTTCCCAGACTGCAGACAGCCCACTACCATTTCTTGGGGTAATGAGAGCCCTTTCTGTATCAAGAGAGAAGGTTTTCCAAGACTGTCAAACTCACCACCACAAAATGAGATGCCTGAAATGAGATATGAGATTAAAGCCTTGCACTGGAAGATCTGTGTGCCCTGCTACAGCTGGCTCTGCACTCAACACCTAGAAATGTCTACAAGCCCAGGCTGGTCCTTCCCTCCCAGAGAGGTAGTCCTTACTGCTCCCTAAGCAGACCCAGCAGATGATTCACTTCAATTAATTCTGTGGCACCAAGAGGCTCAGGGTTATTTATATGATTTTGCAAAACTTAAGAATGGAGGCTGGTGCCAGCAGCAGCAGTGATGTCAAATGGTCAGAAGGACACAATCTTGGAGATTTTCTCTGACACTGAAAGCTGATTTGGATTGCTGAATTCCTGCCCCAGTCCTCTCTTCCTCAGCATGATCCTTTCAGCTGTAATGAGCTAATACTTTTCTAAGTGCCCAACATGATGCACTTCCCTACAAAGCTCAGCATTCATACTTCACTTGCTATCAGGATGAACATATACAATGATTTGCTTATGCTGGACATAAATGAAGGCCCAGTTTCAGAAGAGAAGGTCTCAAAAGTGGCATTAAAACCTAAAGCTGGCAATTCAGGAAAGGGAACAATTCAGCTTTCAGTAGCTGTGGGATTTTGTGCCCCCAGCTGACTGCCTGTCCCTCAGGTTTCCACCTACACCTGAAACGGGAAAAAGATGTGTTTCGGGTAGCAGACCCCCTTGCCTGTATATTCAGGTGTCTTGGAGAAGGACCTTAGGACAGTACAGCCCTTTCTGGGTAGCTAAGATATTCTTGCCTTTGCAACATCATAGATTCAGTTTCTAATAAAATGAGATAATACACCCCAATCACAATTTATAAGGAAACTAAATGAAGGGGGGGAAAAATGGAATATTGTGTTGTCATACACATGAAAAGCCCCACAGGAGGTCTTCAAGCCCTTGTAGGCCATGATCTTCAGAGAAGTGTTGGGGTTGTTCAATGTGGAGGAGGCTCCAGGAAGACCTTATTGTGGCCTTTCAATATCCTGAAGGGCCTTACAAGAAACATGGATAGAGACTTTTTACTAGGACCTGTAGTGACAGGACACAGGGCAACCATTTTAGACTGAAAGAGGGCAGATTTAGACTGTACACAAGGAAGAAGTTTTTTATGACAAGCGTGGTGAGACACTGGAACAGGTTGCCCAAAGAAGTGGTCAATGCTCCATCTCTGGCAGTGTTGAAGGCCAGGCTGGACAGAGCCTTGGGCGACATGGTCTAGTGTGACAAGTCCCTGCCCATGGCATGGGGTTTGGAACCAGATGATCTTAAGGTTCTTTCCAACCCTAACTAACTAGCCTATGATTCTATGATTACCCAAACCATTCTGTGACTTTGTGATTTAGGAGAGTAAAAATGGTATCAAATACTATTTTCATTTTATGCTTCAGGCTGCTGTTACTCCATGAGTTATGAACATGTCTCCGTGTACTTGATGTGGCATGCCTTACCACATAGCAGTTTTGAGGATGATCAAACACATTAAGTGTCTAAGAGGTTGGGGCAGGGTGCAGGAATGAAGCCCCACGAAGGCATGGCAGGTATCAGGATGCAGTATAAGGGTGAAGGACCAATTTCTTGGCCTCCTTCAAAGACACATCTAAAGCTGGCTCCCTACATACAGTGCATTGAGGGTCCAGGGTTCTAGAAGTAAAAATCTGAATCCTTCTACAAAAAGGAAGAGCCCTCACAATCTTACTTTTACAGCCAACATATCAAAACTACCTCCATTGTAAATTAACTTATCATGTGGTACATAGTCCATGTTTTGTTTTGAAGTACCACCTGTTCTACAAGAACAGTCTTACAAGATGCATCTAATGAATTATCTATTTAATTTCTGCTCTTTTAGCTGCCACCCATTGCCACTCCTCCTTGCAGTCAGAATTACCAGGGTTTTTAGAGGATAAACCTTTAAAAAAAATTGCACATTATAACAGAGATTTGCTGGCTTGGTGCTTAGCAACTCAAACACATATAGCCACTTTATAAACAGAAACGCAATGGTAGGTTGGGTAAACAGCAGAGGCTTAGGCAAACAGTGGTTTTACTCAACAACCTAATGTTACATTCTGTAACTGAGAAGTTTCCTTATTTTTGCAAGGACTGCAATAGAAACCTCTGCCGATGCAATGTCTTTAGGTTTTTTGGTGAAAGAAGGTCAGTTCTGATTTCTGTGGAGACTTTCAAAAATATCAGATTTTGATGAAAAAATGGACCCCTTGACCCCATGCAGTTTCTCTGCCTTGGATGCACTAGAAGAGATGACCCATCAAAAGAAACAGACCTTTTTTAAGCCCAGGTTCATTAGCCTCCCATTAGAGCATCTTCAATACATTTCTAACCCTCCTGGGAAGGACCAAGCCACAGTTATGAAGCACAGCTTTGCTGAAGGGTGATTTTATCTCCACCTCCTTACTGCGAACTTCTTTGCAATTACATCTGACGCACTCCATTTTTCCTTTTGAAAGGAAGCTGAATTATACTGTCAGTTGATTAGAAAATTAGTAAAGTTTACAGACTTGAAACCGTGCACAATGCACTTGGTATGCAGCAAGTTTAAGTTAGTAAGTGCCCCAAAGGCACGGCATAAAGAACAGCATTTCTGCTATTGTTTAAATTCCAGCAGCAAAGCTGTATCACTTCTTTGTTATGAATCTGATACACGTCTCCATGTAATCTGTTATTTTCAATCCAATTAGTGATTAAAATGTAATAGTGATTTAGGTAAAGAAATGAGTTACTAATATCAATGACCAGCTCTGTCACAAGAGTTGAGTATTTCACGGCATATGTAATGTGGACTGATATCAGGCAGAGTACAGGCACAGAACAGCAAGCAAAGGATGGAAAAAGTATCAGCTACAGAACAATCCTCATTTTAAGAAACAAATTGACAATTTTCAATGGAAGAAGTTTACCATTCCTAATCCTAGACAGTATAGCTCCTAACCTAAGCTAAGAGCTAGCAAAAACTTTCCTGAGAACTTTACTGATAGCATTTAGGAACACTAGCGCATACAGAATTTTTGGTTATGAGTAAGTTGCATAGAAAGCTGAGAAGTAACATAGTATAGCACTCCTAAAAGGCATGGCAAGATGCATCTCATGCAATTTTAAATCCTGCTTCTTAGCTGGGCAAACGAGAGGATGATGCAGGGATGTTGGCACAAGTGCTGTCCAGTTGTGTTGGTGGTCTCAGAACATAAGTGACCATACCTATTTTATGTAAACTGAGCATGGTTTTAGGGCTGCTGGAACTGCCAGTTGGTTTTCACTAGGCAGTAATCGGGAATCTTACAGATACTCCTTAATTCTGTGTTTATTTGTATTACAATTAAAAAAAAACAAAAAAAACAATGAACTTACTTTGCTCTGGGCTGATGTACTAATCCTGGGATCTCTTTATTAGATTTAAGTCTTGCATTTGAACTGGCACTTTTTTCCTGAAACACACAAAACACACACAACAAAGATACCATCAGTATTTATTAACCACATAAACTGCAACAGGCATTTGTCATCATGGTGTCACAGTCTGCTGGATTCAAGCTCTTCTACCTGTACAACCAAGTAAGAAAAGATCATTGAAAACAAAATTAAAGACAACACAATGCAATGACCCTAGGCAGGCAATTTTTAAATGTCACTGGCTCGATGGCCTGGGGGATTGCCTCTGGGTTACCAGGCAAAATCCATCTGGGACATATAGCCATCAAACACTGCGCTATCTAGTAACTCTCCAGTGGTCCATGGAAAATGAGGTATGCAGCTGCAGCTTGGCTCCTCAGAGAGTCATATCAATAATAACACCAACTGGCACCCTTAACAGAGCAAGGCAAAGCACTGAAAAGACAGAATCCCAGATCACCCCAGACCTGCAGGTTTGCTCAGAAGAGAGGTGAGAAACCTCAGCATCATGTGGAATACCGTATGTGGGAGAAAGCATACATTGAATATGCCACGAAGAAGAGGAGCAATGGCAGACCTGCCCAGCCAGAAAACTGGACACAAGGGGGCCAAGAAAACAAACTGGAGTATAAGCAGGGACACAAACACGTCCTCCACAGAAGACCAGAACCATTTAGAACATCTAAAAAAGTCATGGGGAGGGAAGAGTTTGAGAGCCGACACTTCAAGGCAACATATTGTCCTCACATCAAAAATGTGAAACCCAAAGCTCAGTGCACACATATATCTATTGTCTGCAAAACCTGGAGAATGATACAGCCCCTTCTGGAACTTCCCAGCAGTGTGTTACAGCTCACCCACTCCACAAATCCACCTGAATTTCTTAGCCACACCATACCCATGACAACTTAAAGAGATGCAAACCCAAGAATTAGTGCTTTTGTAGGTAATTTTGGTGGTTTTGTTTTGTCTTAGTCTTTGAATGTCTGAATCACACAACACAATTTTAAGAGGGCTACTAAACCACTGAACAAAAAAAAAAAAAGAGGCTGTCTAGCAGTTATTTTTTTAATGAATAATTCTACAAGGGCTGTAAACATCAACTGCCTTAGCGTATTTAACACTGTTTAATACATATCTTCTAATCCTCCTAAACAGAAAACAGTGTCTTGCATGAAAGTAATAGCGAAAGAGAAACAAGCCTTTCTTCTAAGCCTTAACAAATACCTCTAAGTATCTGTATGTTTGTTACATCCTATCAGCCACTGCCTGCCCATGATCCCATGATGTCGAGTCAAAGCAGAACAGAAGACAAAATCCCTTGCTTTCAAAGAATCTTCTAATTTTAACAGTGTTAAGTGGAGATTACTATGTACCTGCATGCTATGCGTGTGGTAAACATGCATGTACTTAGTCGTATGATGACTATGCACTCATACAACTGCCAAGCAACTTGTACAATTGTCAAGCAAACTAAAGAGAGGGGGATATGCCTCATGGAGAAGACACCACAACCAGAAATAAGCTAAATGCCAACCTCATGCACCAGATGAGACTTTACCCTCAAATCTGCTCCACCAGTTTGCCACAGGTCAGGGGCAGAAAGTGGGAATGGTCTGCATTACATATGTGGAATGGTACATCTGGATGGTCCAGCCGTAGGCATGTTCTGCAGCTGTAGCACTTCCTGCCCACCTACCACAACACAAGTTTGGGCCACCTTCTGTATTTGCACACTGTCACCCTGGAGGCATGGACCTCTCGTCAGCCATAAACTGATGTGAATCCACTGCATTATTAAAAGGGGAGTAGAAGTTCTGATTTACAGCTCCTGTAGTGAGAGCTGTGATAAATCAGGACAGTGCACAGGTGGCTTTCCACACCTCAGCTTGAGGCTTGGTGTCAGTGCGGCTCTATCAGTAGCTGGAATCAGCACAAATCCCAGCCTAAATAAACTTTTGTCACTTAGGAACAAATAGAAACACACAAGAAAGATATACGAGGCCTCTTCTCTGTGGGTCCCACGGCAATATTCAGAATATTACTTGAGTCATGAGGAAGAGGGAAATAAAATTTCAGTTTACTTGACTTCAAGATCCCAAAGTTTGCTCTTTTCCTCCTGTTGCTTCTGATAATTAACATATCTCAATTACCTATTATGTACAATTCTTCTACTTGAGCAGGAAGTATGTTACCTTCTCCATCTGTTGCCCAGCAGGAACAAACAGAAAAAGAGGAGTTAAGAGAAAAATAAAACCTAACCAGGTCTGGAACTGGCTTGTTGCTTTGTTTATAGCTGTTATTTACAGCAGTGAAATTTCACTGCACTGACTGAAATATTGGCTTCAATAAAAATAGATATTAAAAAATAATTCTTCCAAATACAAACAAAAAGAATATTTTTTCCACATCACTTTGAAAACAAACTGACTCATCAGAAATTAACGGTCTGGATTCTACTATTGAGCTTATAAAAAAACCCCACACCAACCCAAAACCAAAACCAAAAATAAATTCTTTAATGCAGTCAGACTGCTCTTCCAGACTGACTTGACTTTGATTGAAAGGTCACTTCTTTCAGTCTAAACTCATTTTCTCCCTTGTTTAACATTAAATAAGTTACCATGCATCAACAGAACTGTAATTGGTTTAAGAGACCTAATCTACTGCAAATAGAAATTAATATGCAAAAGTTTGTTTTTAATCTAGTCCTGCTTATAAGGATTATTTAAAGTAAATGCAGCAAATGATACAACACAACAGACGCTTAGAAAGTAAACCCTCCAGGACGCTGTACTTGGATAGCAGCATTAGCTTGTCTATAGTAAAAAGGCAAATAGTGGACATTTTACTTCCCATTATTTTGCAATTAATCATTATCAAGATAAGGCTGGGATCAAATCAAGGTGATTTCATTTGACAGATTCACTAATTATTGTTAATTCCTCCATAAAGGATGCACTGTATTCAGAATTTCAGGGCATTAACAGATGGCAGTGACTGCTGCCAGATGCTATTAACACTGCAACAGCCACTACTGCCATTATAATTAAATATCTGTCAACATTTCCCTTGATGCTCCCCCTCTTACAAACTCATTTCTACAGAAATGTGAACTTCATTTGAAGTATTCCACTTTTTTTTCATAAGACTGCCACAGATGGACTCAGGTAAGCTGCTAATGGTCCTTCTTCTCAACTCAACACTCATGGCTTAGTAGAGGACTGATTTTTAAGAGATCACAGTATCACAGTATGCTAGAGACTGGAAGGGACCTCGAAAGATCACCTAGTCCAATCCCCCTGCCAGAGCAGGAACACCTAGATAATGTTACACAGGAATGTGTCCAGGCGGGTTTTGAATGTCTCCAGGGAAGGAGACTCCACAACCTCCCTGGGCAGCCTGTTCCAGTGTTCCGTCACCCTCACTGAGAAGAAGTTTCTTCTCAAGTTTAAGTGGAACCTCTTGTGTTCCAGTTTGTACCCATTACTCCTTGTCCTATCATTGTCTGCCACTGAGTAGAGCCTGGCTCCATCCTCGTGACACTCCCCCTTTATATATTTATAGACACTTATAAGGTCACCCCTCAGTCTCCTCCAAACTATAGAGACCCAGCTCCCTCAGTCTTTCCTCATAAGGGAGATGCTCCACTCCCTTAATCATCTTAGTTGCCCTGCGCTGGACTCTCTCCAGCAGCTCCCTGTCCTTCTTGAACTGAGGGGCTCAGAACTGGACACAATATTCCAGATGGGGTCTCACCAGGGCAGAGTAGAGGGGAAGGAGGACCTCTCTCGACCTACTAACCACCCCCCTTCTAATACACCCCAGGATGCCATTGGCCTTCTTAGCCACATGGGCACAGTGCTGGCTCATGGTCATCCTGTCGTCCACTAGGACCCCCAGGTCCCTCTCCCCTACAATGGTCTCTAACAGGTCGTTTCCCAACCTATACTGGAACCTGGGGTTTTTCCTGCCCAGATGCAGGACTCTACACTTTCCCTTGTTGTATTTCATCAAGTTATTCCCTGCCCAACTCTCCAGCCTGTCCAGGTCTCGCTGGATGGCAGCACAGCCTTCTGGCATGTCAGCCACTCCTCCCAGCTTAGTGTCATCAGCAAACTTGCTGATAGTACACTCAATTCCCTCATCTAAATCGTTGATGAATATATTAAATAATACCGGTCCCAGCACTGACCCTTGAGGCACTCCACTAGTTACAGGCCTCCAACTAGACTCAGCCCCATAGACTACAACTCTCTGGCTTCTCTCCTTCAGCCAGTTCGCAGCCCACCTCACTACCTGATCATCCAGTCCGCACTTCCTCAATTTAGCTGTGAGGATGCTGTGGGAGACTGTGTCAAATGCTTTGCTGAAGTCAAGGTAGACCACATCCACCGCTCTGCCATCATCCATCCACCGTGTTATTTCCTCATAAAAGGCTAAGAGATTGGTCAAGCATGATTTCCCCTTGGTGAAGCCATGTTGACTGCCCCTCATAACTCTCTTATCCTTGATATGCCTTAAGATGGCACCAAGGATAAGGTGTTCCATCACTTTCCCAGGGATGGAGGTGAGGCTGACTGGTCTATAGTTACCCGGTCCTCCTTCTTGCCCTTTCTGAAGGCTGGAGTGACATTTGCTTTCCTCCAGTCCTCAGGCACCTCTCCCGTTTCCCAAGACTTGGTAAAGATGATGGAGAGTGGTCTAGCAATGACCTCCGCCAGTTCCCTCAGCACCCACGGGTGCATCCCATCTGTACCCATGGATTTATGGATGTCCAGATTGCTCAACTGATCTCCAACCCATTCCTCATCGACTAAGGCAAACCGCTCCGTCGACCTGACTTCATCTAAGGTCTCAGGGGTACAGGGCTCTTCAGGACTGCCTGCAGCAGAGTAGACAGAGACAAAGAAGTGCTAACACATTTTATGAAGAGCCTATACATTATTTTATGCATTTTTAATTGATTGAATTGGCCAGGAAAAATTGACTAAAGATGACAGCAGCAATTCTACTACCTAATCTAATGGCCAAT